TTAGACAATATCACATAATGAGATGTCATTGTAACTTTGGAGAAACAGAAAATCTTCAAAACATGCAAGATGATTCATAACCGTACTGCACAGCCTACTTGGGTTAACAGATTAACAGAGTTGGAAGGGATGCTGTAGGTTATCTAGCCCAACCTCCCGCTTCAAGCAGGAGACCCTACACCATTTCTGACAAGATGGCAGTCCAGTCTCTTCTTGAAAGCTTCCAGTGATGAAGCACCCACAATTTCTGAAGGCAAGCTATTCCATTGATTGATTGTTCTCATTGTCGGAAAATTTCTACTTATTTCCAGGTTGAACCTCTCCTTGATCAGTTTCCATCTATTATTCCTTGTCTGGCCTTCAGGTGCTTTGGAAAATAGCTTGATTCCCTTCTCCTCTGTGGCAGCCCCTCAAATATTGGAAGACTGTTATCATGTCTTCCCTGGTCCTTCTCTTCACTAGACTAGCCATGCCCAGTTCCTGCAACCGTTCATCCATTATTCCAAACAACTCAGATGAGACAGCGCCACTTCAGTGATGTCCCATTTTACATTGCTGATGGAATCTCACCTCATGTTATGTTTGTTCTATAAAAGTACTTTCTGTGTAAAAAAATAATCACGTTTTATGTAACGTTCTTTGGGACAGAGATTCCTATGTAGGATTTCCATGGCATTTACTCAATACAAGGAGAGGGGTCCCTATTGCGATAATTTAATTACAAATAAATGAGAACATCTCCTTTTAAGGACCCCATAATCCCTTGCGGGGTGGAGTCTGGGAAACTGAATGGAGCTAGCAGAGTATTTAATGGCCGGATGCCCTTTCTGTTGCCAATGCAGAGTTTTGTTCAGCAGATATAATATTCTCATTGTGCCTAGACAGACAAATATCTGCTTCTACCTACAGTAGAATCAAACTCACAGCCTCCTGATTGTGAGATGAGAACTCCAACATGTGCTGATAAAATAGAAGAGGCTATTAAAAACAAAGCAAATTGTGCCAAAAGTAACAATGTCTGCAGAAATCATTTCTGAAAACCTGAGAACGTTTGAAGAGGAGTGTTTCATGGGAGGATCTGTTTAGTTAGTACAAGTAGCTGCCATTGCACATATTCATACACAGCTGTTACAAGTGAAACAGCAACCCTCCTCCTGTTTCCCGCAGCAACTAATTTTAGACTGCAAGTTCTTTAGCAAGTCTCTATTTTCTTCATATAAGTGCCTGCAAAAGAAATGTATAAATCACATGTCCAATTATAAAAATCAATATATACTTGACATCTCAAACTAAGTAACCAAAGAATTTAGCAGCTGGCTACAGTTATGTAAAAGAAATACAGAACAGAGAAAAACATGCCAAGAAATTGTTCTTATTGACTGCGGTCAACAAAGGTAGGCATTTTGTATTTTAAGCAGTTTAACAAAAGAAAGGTTTCCTCAGTTTTCAAATGTATTGGATTGAAACTCTCAGAATTACCAGCCAGCACTTCTAAATATTGAATTCTCAATTCCTTTATAAAACAGCATGTACCAATTATATAGCCACCCCAAATTGAAAGAAAGCTGCAGCTTTACACTCAGGTGGTTTCTGATTAAATTATGAAATACTAGTGATGGAAAAGTTACATAATATGCATTATACCCAAAGCACATGCTTGCCTAGCTGTTAGGCCCACGATAGGCTTTTATTCAGAGTAAATCAAGGTTACTGTCTAACTATACTGCTGACTGGCTTGTCCAGCTATCATCTACAGAAGCTCTGTGGTTTGTCCCAACAACAGCTGGGGTTAAAGAGAACAGCTTTTTTCATATCTACAACTAGGCTGTGAAAATCTTCCAAAGGATTTCCGTCTCACTTTAAGAATTAACTTTGGAGAGGGGGGGATATATATTGTTGATGACTTAATTACACTTGTAACTTATGTACTGAATAAACTAAGTTATAGTGCTATGAATGCTTTTTTTAGAATAAAAGATTTTGATGGTCTCACTTTTGAACAGTTACACAAATAGACAAAAATTATTTGGCACTGAATTGTATTTGTCCATTGTGTTCCATTTTCTGAATTGGAATTATTGTATGTTCCTCCTGATCTGCTACTGTTGTGGTGATATTACTATTTTTGTAAGCCACTTTAAAATTTCACCTACATACATCTGAAAAATAAATGAATTAAATATCATAAATAAACAAAAGCTGAAGCCAATGATTAAACATCCCAGATCAATGAACTTTCAAACGGTCATACTCATGGTACCAATAGAACAGAACAGAATAACAGAGTTGGGAAGGATCTTGAAAGTCTTCTAGTCAAATCCCTAGTAAGGCAGGAAACCCTATACCATTTCAGATAAATAGTTGTCCAATCTCTTCTTAAAAACTTCCAATGTTGGAGCATCCACAACCTCTGGAGGCAAGTTGTTCCACCAATTGTTCTAACCGTCAAGAAATTTCTTCTTAGTTCTAGGTTGCTTCTCTCCTTGATTAGTTTCCAGTAATTGCTTCTTGTCCTGCCTTCTTGGTGCTTTGAAAAATAGGTTGACTTCCCTTTCTTTGTGTCTCCCTTAGATTTTAGAACACTATCATATCACCCCAGTCCTTCTTTTCACTAACTAGACATATCAAATTCCAGCGATCATTCATGTTTTAGCCTCCAGTCCCCTAATCATCTTTGTTGCTCTTCTCTGCAGTCTTTCTAGAGTCTCAACATCTTTTTTACATTGTGTGCGACCTTTTCAATCTTTTCAAGTAGCAGGTTGTGGTCTACTTTATCAAATGTCTTACTGAAGTCCTAGTAAATTATACCCACAGCATTTCTCTGCTCCACTAATTTTGTCACTTTGTCAAAGAATGCAGTACAATTTGTCTGACAAGATCTGTTTTTGACAAACCCATGTTGGCTTTTGGTTTTGTTTGTATCTAGATGTTCTCAGATTTGTTGCTTATCTTTACCAGAATCTTCTCGTGTATTGATGTCAGACTAACAGGTCTGTAGTTTCCTAGATTCATTTCCCCCCTTTTTTGAAGATAGGAACTACATCAGCATTTTTTCCAGTGCCCTGGTAATTCCCCAGTGCTCCAGGATCTTTGAAAGATATAGTTGAGTGGTTCTGAGATCACATCTGTTCATTCAGAACTTTGGGATGTAATCCATCTGGTCCTGGTGATTTGAACTCATCTTGGGTTGACAAGTGCTCTCTTACCATTTGAAATTCAGAAATAAACTAGTTGCAGCCTAGGATAAATCATGAAATCTACATCCATCCTTTTTTTGAAAAACTAGTATTTTTTATTCTATCAGATGAGATATAAGTTCTTTGATAGCATTGATAATTTAGAACCTACATTATCTTCTAAGACACCTTGTAACAGCTATAGTGGCTGAGAATAGAAATGACCACAATTTCTACTACTAGGCTACTAGGGTGCTTCAAAATCATTATCCTGCAAATAAGTCACTTCCTTTATTTTCTTTCTCATGTTCATCTGTGTAATCTTATAATTGGACATAACGGTAACAGGCCTCTACAACCAAACCTAATAACTAGGAAGGCTCATAGAAAAGTAGGCCTTTTTTAGACAAATAAATCCCAAATCCTTTATGATCTTAAATCAGACCTAATAGGATGTATTCCCATTAGGGATGTAGCTATGTAGCCTATTTTAAACTTGGAAAAAAGGCAATCAGTAGAGTGCACAGAGCATCTAGGAACATGTAATATTCTTTAATGTTTAGTTCCTTGATATTTTATTCTACCAAAAGCAAACTCATTTTCTGGAAAAAAAAAATCACCCCTTTTGGACCAACTGAAAACCCCGCTACCATTACTTTTGGAATGACAGGATATACATTAGGCTACAGAATTATGCAAATTAAAAGCCAATATATTATCACATCTACTGTATGCTCCTTCTTCAAAATGTGTACTTTTAGGACAAAGATTTCATTATTCAACCTTCATTTTCAAATTTTTTTCCCTGCCTTGAATGTGATACCATGATTATTATTCAGGACAGAACCAAGCTTGGGTTTCCAAATAAATACTAGGAGAGCCAAAGAGGAAGTTACACCTTTCAGTAAATCAAGGACACTGGCCTCATTTGTATCACCCTGGTTCAGTAAAAGCCTATAAAAGTGAATTCAGACATAAATGGTGTGACTCCTTTATTTATTAAAAATACATACATCAATACAGTATGTATATATTTATATCAGTGTTTTTCAACCTTGGCAACATTAAAGTAAGGGCAAGATGGATGGTGAATTCTGGGAGTTGAAATCCACGCATCTTAAAATTGCCAAGGTTGGAAAAACACCGATTTAAAGGGCTGCTTCTAGGACCGCCCAACTGGAAAAAGCGCGACGTCCCCAACGATAAAGAAATCCAAATGCAACCACAACGAAACCCGCCCACGTATTTACCACATATATAGATGAATACATTTATATTCATCAAACCCAGGGGTGTCCAACTTTGGCAACTTTAAGGTGTGTGGACTTCAACTCCCAGAATTCCCCAGCCAGAATTCTGGGAGTTGAAGTCCACACACCTTAAAGTTGCCAAGGTTGGACACCCCTGAATCGAAGATGCTCCGAAGACTTCAGCAGGCTGTTGGGGTGGGAGGGGATGTGTTTCCCGCGCCTTGCCCCATCAGGCTTTTCCCAAGTAGGGAGGACTAGAAAGCCCATAACTCCAACTACGGTCCCGAGGCAAGATGTACTACAAGTCGGAAAACCCGGTGCCCCCCCCCTACCCCCGAAGCAAGGCGGTTGTCCCAGACTGGAGGGGAAAGAGACCAAGGAGCACAGGTCGCGCCCGGCCGCCCTATTTCCCCGCTGCCCGCCGCTGTCGCTCCCGCCTGAGGTAAGAGCGCGCCGCCACCGCCGCCGCCGCCGCCATTGGCCCAGTTCGGGCGCAGCCGGCTCGCCTCGCGCTCGGGGCGGCGCGCGTTGAAGGGGAGGGGTGGCGCGTGCGCGGCCCGGCGAAGGTGGGGCTGCCGACGGACTGACGGACGGGGCGACAGACAGGAAGAGGGGACAGGAAGTCGCGCGGGCTCTTCCATCCTTTCGAGCGGGCGGCGGCGGCCGCTGCTGCGGGGCTGCCCGGAGCCACTCCTCGCCGTCGACCGACGCCTCGCCGGCGGGAGAAGCCACAACCCGGGTAAACGAGGCGGGAGGAGGAGGAGGAGGGAGCGGGGGAACCGCTGCCGCCCCTGCCAGGCCCGAGGGCTTCTCGGTAGCGAGGCCGATTGCCTGCTTAGGGCGGAGGGCAGCGCCTTCCCGGCCGACCGGCCACCCCGGGCGAGGCCTCCGGGGTGGAGGCGAGGCGGCCCTGCGTTCCTCCGGAGCCGAGGCGGGCGTTTTGGGTGGGGGGAGCGTGACGGCTGGGCACATTGTTGCGCGGGCCCCGAGGGGCAACAGCAGCTTGTCATGGCATTTGCTGCTCTTCTCGGGGAAAGGCGGGAGGGCGCTTCCCTGCGACGGGACGGGGAGTGGTGGCCGCTGCCCTCTCTGGAAGAGCTGCCTGAAGTGAGCTCTTAAGCCAGGCTTCGGCGAACGGCGTTTCTTTGTATTTTTCGCCCCTCTGTTGTCGTTTCGAAAGTATTTGCCGGGATTCCTGGGAGAAGTTCACTATGGAGATGCAATAGTTTGACTGGGAATACCTGTTTACCTTGAATAGGTGAGGCTGGTGGAGGTATAATGTTCCTCTAAGGTCCCAGGCTCTTGGGAGGCCTATCTCTGCCTAAGAGAGGTTTCCTTCTGCCTGCTATATTGCACAAAGTTAGGCTTGTTTTGTTTTGTTCTTTTTGTTTTCCATTCGGGTTATTGCATTTGAATACTCTGTGCACAGCAGAAGCCATAGTTTTTACACTCTTTTAACTTTTTCATAGCTGTTTTTCTGATCCTGCTGCCTATTGTAGTTTCATTCCTTTCCTGAAGTCACATGATGGGCCTGAGTCTTGTTGTCATCACAAGCAGCTTAAAGTCCATCTGGAATGTTTATACTTTTGCCTTTGGGTACCCAGAAGATTAAATATGACCATGTCTCATAAAGTTCAAATTCAGTTGAATAAATAGTTAATTTGTCTTCAACTTTCTGTAGTAATGGGTTTCAGAGCCGACGCATGACACTGTTTGTTTCTCAGTTGTTTGCACTGTTCGTTTTCAAATTTTTAAATATTTTCTCCTAAGAAACAACGCTTGTTGCATGAAAGATGTAATACTTAGCAATTTAATCTAGTATTCTCTTGCACTTCATTGGGCAGCTTTGAAGACTTTATCAACTTGTACTTTTATCCTCCTTGGAAAACTGGGTTGTTGTTGATTATGTTAAGAGAGTCAAATATGTTGTCCCTCCCCCAGAGTTATTTGTAGTAAGATTATAATTTGTAATGCAAGAACATGAATATGGACTAGAAGAAAGTATATAATATTATACTCTGCTTTTACAAATGAGAAGCTGACTGTTTCAAATCTGGTGTCAAATATTGTGAGTTTGCTTGAAAACCAAGAATAGTCTGGTAGCATATGTTATGTGCAGTTTCAGGAGAACTAGGTGTTATAAATACAAAATTCTTTTGGAACTTAAAGAATTCTAGTTGGTAATCTCATGAACAATCTTGGTTTGTTTTCATAAATACCCAGCCTACTTTTTAGAATTCTCAGCTGTTCCAAACAAAGTACTGTGTCCATAAGGTTATTGAAGACATGATAAGGCAGTGACATGAATTTTTGAAAAAAAAAAAGCATAATAGGAGTCAGTGTATAATGCTGATTGACCCAGTGTAATAATTATATAGATAATTGTGATGAAAACAATTGTCAGTAATTGACATATATAGTAAATACAGCCCACATGGTTGTCACTCTTTGTTTTGAATTAATATAGTGGTGTGTAGATGAAAAAAAGAAACATTTGTGAAAAATTAGAGAGGATGATATACTATATAACGAAACTTAGATCTTCCACATGTTCCCTTTGAGGGAGATTCAGTGATCCTGTAGAATTATTATTTTTGTCCTGTTCTGTTACCAAGCAAAGAAAAGCCAATATTTGTTGAGGAACGCTAAACTGGATTACGTAATGCTAAATTCTATACCTCCTGTATTCGTTGTCTCAAAGAAAATGGTTGAATTTTAGTTTTTCATTTTATTGATTATTGATTGCTGAATTCAGTTAAAATTATTGCTCATTGTAAAATGTAAAGCTTCAGTTTATAATCAAATGGTTTACAAAACTCACTAAATAACATGCCTTTTCTAAGCACTGGAAAAATTAATGAGGGTACTTTTGAAAAGTTAAAATCATTACTGAATAAGTTTATCCATCTTTTCTCTCATATATTTATTTCCTAATCTGATAAATTTGTACCTCTTAAAAACACTTCAACCAAACTGCAGTAAATATTGATATGAACTTCAGAGGACTACCACATATGTTTTAAATATTAAGCTGGATAAAACAAACTTATTTTTGATTTTTATCTGGAATCCAGAGGATTTAGCTATCTTCAGGGTTTTTTTTAACCTTTTCCAGTAAAAAGGAAACATTTGCATGCTTTTTTTCAGAGTGAACTTGCACATTGTCATGCTACACATTAGAAAAATTGTTTAGGATGCAACTAAAGCAAACCAGAGTATGTTTAAAAGAAAATTATTAGATCAGTTTTGTTGGCACACTTGGTGGTTAATGCAAATCTTACCCACGCGTGTGACCAATAGAGCAACCTCAAGCCAATTATGCCAAGTCCGATTTTATAGAGCAACTATGAGAATAAGAAGATATAATTCTGTACGGGTAGTCCTCAACTTACAACAGTTTATTAAGTGACCCTGCACAGTTACATTGGCACTGAAAAGAGTGAGTTATTTTTCACATGACCATTGCAATAATCCCATGGTCACAGGATCAGAATTCTGCTGCTTGGCAACTGAGTCATAGTCATGATGGCTGCAGTGTCCCATGGTCATGTGATCACCTTTTTCAACCTTCTGAGCAAGCAACGTCAAAAGGAAAGCAAGATTCACTGAACCCTGTCATTAACTTAACACCTGCAGTGATTCACTTAACTGGGGTAGGAAAGGTCATAAAATGGGGCAATCTTAATTGTTTCATTTAACAACAAAAATTTAGGGCTCAATTGTGGTCATAAGTCGAGGACTACCTATATATATTGTCCTGAATTTTCTTAAAAGTTGAGGTAGAATCCAAATGGGAGTTGAGACTTTTGGTGTAATAGTTACATTACTTTCAATCTTGCCCCATCTTGGAAGCAATTTAACTACCGTATTTCCCCATGTATAAGCCACCCCTTTTTTCCAAAATTTTCAAGCCCAAAAAGTAGGGGGGTGGCATATACAAAGCAGGTACACTTTTTATACGTGAAAAATGCATAAAATAATAAAGTAGGAATAAACTGGTTTTCCAGCAGTATGCTATACTTTTTTGTAAAAATTGTACGTGATGATACGATTACGAGTGCGAGTACGCGATAGAAATGCATACGCTAGGCATCGGCCTGAATGCTTCGTTCCTACTCTCGTTCCGATGCGTAGATTGCTAGCGTCGCCCGCACCGCTTTCGGCGTCATGACCGAATTTGTAGATCTAGACGTCAAATTTTGTTTCTTTGTAAATTTTCTTTCTTCATAACTTGTTTCTCTAATAAAATATTTTTTTCAAAACTTCACAGTCCAAAAATTCGGGGGGTGGCTTATACAAAGGGGGTGCTTATACATGGGGAAATACGGTAGATGAAAGCAATGGCAGTTTTAAATTTTAAATAAGAATATACTGCATATTGTTTGCTATAGTTATAACTGGGTAGATGCAAAGCACTTTGGGAAATATTAATGGATTGTTTGGTTCTGTTCATATAAGTTCTGTTAAGAGTTGCCTCCAGGCAAGATGGGTGGCATATAAGTCGAATGAATGAATAAGTAAAGTAATAAATATTAATTGCAAATATTGTAAAACATTTCAATTCAACCATTACATGAAATGTCCAATGTGTGCATGGATTGGCAGCCTTGTCTACCGCATGGTTGACTCAATGACCACATGACAATTACTTTGACAGACTTGTGTTTCATAGTTAGAGTATTTGTGTAGATAAGTAGGATAACCTTTAGGGCAGACTTGGCATAGGAAAGAATTGGTGTAGGAAAGAAACTTTTATTCTTTTGCTAATGACTTTTTTTATCTGCACTTACTTCCTCACAATCTTTAACCCGTTATTTCAGCAGTTACAATTCTGTATTATGCCATACAGAATTGGTGGGCAGGGGAACCTGTCTTGTAGAGATCTGGATTTGGGCTTTTTGCTCTATCTGTGTATTGTTTAATTAGTAGTTTCATATTTTGCAAGTTTAATTTTCTTTAAGGCAAGTTGTATAGAACCGTACAAAATTAAGAGTTTGTCTTTATCTGGTAAAATGTGTTTCTAATAAAGTGAAATTAAGCTGATACAGTTTATATTAATATTTATAATACATTTTTTGAACATGAACATTTTTGTATAGATTCACTAACATGGGAGTACAGCCTGGGTTTGAGACCTGAGCTCCATGCAGCGTTACTTGCTCCCATTTATTTGCTCCAGCTCCAGCCCACCTAGCAGTTCGAAAGCATGCAAATGCAAGTAGGTTAATATGTACCACTTTGATGGGAAAGTAACAGTGTTCCATGCGCCTTTGACATATAACCATGCTGGCCACGTGACCACGAAAATTGTCTTCGGACAACGTGGCTCCCTTGGCCAAGAAACAGAGATGAGCACCCTGCCCTGGAGTCAGACACGACTGACAGCCAAACCTTTACTATTTTTTAACTAGAAAAAAAAAATCCACTTCCCCCCTACCTAGATACCTTCCACATTTGTTGGAAACTACCCAGTATTCACAAACAGCAAGCAAAAGGCTAAAGAATTATAGAATATTTAATGGCCTGAACTGATGATAGTATTGTGGGCACCTTTATGGCAGTCTCTTAAATCTGATAATTTAATTGCATTGGATGTACTTGAATGGAAAACCTATTATCTGCGCCAGTTAAATATATTAAATATCCTTTAATTTTAGTACTGATTTGTGGCCACAAATGAGCTATATGACAAAACTTCTAATCTTTTATACACTGTTATTTTTCCTCTTAAAATAATTAAATACAATCCTCTCCAAGTTGTTAATGGTGTTCAGTGGCTAAAGAACTGTTGTTTTAAAAAATTGATATTCCTTGTATCCAGAATTGCTGGCAAATATTTTCCTGAGTGGTAAAAGGACTAACTTCCTTTATTCAGTGAGAGATTGATAGTATTCCATACATAGTGCTATGTGCATAATAATCGGGAGAACAAAATACATTACAAAAAGTTGATTTGCCACAAAATGGAATGGAATTATAGGGAAATGTACAACAGTAATAACATTGGAATATAAAGTAGATGAGTAGGAGAACGAATATTTGTTATGAGAATATCAATTACAGCAGGAGTCATATCTTTAATTCCATTGCATTTGTTTTATGCAATTATATTTATTAATGTATATTTGAAAGCTCTGTGCAACTTACAAAACTACATCAATAATATACAAAATTCTGAAACCATTCCAAAATAAGATTAAAAATAAGGACTTAAAACTCAGGAAGGCAGGAATGTTAGATATGTTTGCTGCCTTGGGTTGCTTATAAAAATAATGGCAGCATAAAAAAAAATCAAGTAAGTCCAAAATTGAAATAAGAGGAGACCAGATTTATCAGCAATATAGTAGCAATATATTTTGTTGTGTATTAATATGTCTCTGGCAAGACCTATAAAGCATTCCCCATTAAAAATTGAATTTATCAAGAAGATTTTGTGACCAATCCTGCAATTATTTAAGGCCTAAGCTTTATAAGGGTTTATACACCTAAGCAAATCCCTTGAATTTGGCTTGGAAAGCAACTGGCAACCAATGTGAATGTTTCAAGATAGGAGTTTTTGTGTAGTGCCACACCCACTGTATAAACTGCATGCTTCATTTTGGAACAGTAACAATTCTGTAACAATTTCAAGGACTCTCACACAACACAGGAATGTTGCAATAATCTACACCTGCCGTTACTGGCACAGGTATCACTGAAACCAAGTGTCTCTTGAAACACAAATATCACGGCAGTGGAAGCTTATGAACACTAATCATAGCAATGGAAGCTCATGAAAATCCTCACTTGCTACTGTTATCCAGTAATTTATATGTTTATATAATTTTGGCTATCAGTGCAAGTTCAAGGAGAACTCCTGGACTATGAACTTGTTCCTCGTTCAAAATAGATGGTATCTCATAGAGTTTGAGATAATTTTGTAGTTGTACTGTACTTCAAAGGAAATTGGAGGTTTTATTTATTCTCTTTTCACTCCTTCCTTCCCTCCCTGTTCCTTCCAACAATTCAACAATCTCTTGTCAAATTCCATCATTGTGAAGTATGACCAATTCTATATTGTCTTGAGTAAAATGAAGTTAATTTGAATACATTTGGTTTGCTGGTTTGGGTATGGCATTAGTTTTTATAGTCTTTGTAAAACATTGCATACAAATTTATTTAAAATATATACAGTATCTGACACTAAAAGCTTTACTTTCATTTTGGTTCAGCTATCTGATGTGTTTAAATGAGCTGCCTTCTACAGCTGATATGTGATCCTGGGAAAAGGCATGTTTGGCTGCAAATGTTTCTGACAGCTGCTATTGTACATGTGGGCCCTTATTACTATATATCACATATTGTCCTTTGAATTGGGATTATTGCAATACCCTACTTCATATTTTACCTTCTGAAGCAATTGTCAGCATTCCAGAAAACCTCCACTCCAACAAATAACTCAGAGACAGACATCTAAGCATGTATATAGGGCAGTGGTGGCAAACCTTTTTTGGCTCCCATGCCGATAATTGTATGTGTGCTTACGCTCACGTGCCAGCACCCAGAAGGCAATGTGTGCTGGGCCCACCCGCCACACCCCCTAGGCATGCATGCGCAATCCCACTGCAGTGCGCTGTGCACCTGCACATGTGCTTGCGATTCACACGCTTGCACACATGATCCCTTTACCACGCACCATGCACGATTCCCCCACTGCATGCCTGCGCATGTGATTACCCCACGTTGTGCATCTGCGCATGCACGCGCAACCATCCCCGTGCGCCATCCATCTGTGCATGCACGCGCAATCCCTCCATTCGCCGTGCATCTCTGTGTATACACGTGTGTCTCCTGCGCTCCCTCCCCCCTGCGCATGTGCTCCAGATACCCAACAATCAGCTGTCAGGCGGCAGCGCTGCATGCATGCGCAGTGGGGCTTTTCCGGGCGAGCTCTCACATGCCGGCAGAAGTGGCTCAGTGTGCCTCTTCTGGCACACGTGGCATAGGTTCGCCAACACGGATATAGGGCGACACATTCCTTTAATTTAGGAATTATACATGAATAACCAGTTATAATTTCTGCACTTCTAGATATGGCTCGTGGACAGCAGAAAATCCAGTCACAACAGAAAAATGCCAAAAAGCAAGCTGGACAGAAAAAGAAGCAAGGCCACGATCAGAAGGCTGCAGCTAAAGCTGCCTTAATATACACATGCACCGTCTGCAGGGTAAGAAGCTTGGAAACCAAATACTGGGCAATCTTTCTAGATTTTAACTCGGGAGTATGAAGTATAGCATAGCAAGGCAACATCCTTCTGTGTCAAAGTTTGTATTGTATAGATAATAGGTAAGGAAATTTTGCCTCAGAGCTGTTTTCCCTTAAAAGTAATAGAATGGGGAAGCTTCTTTCAGAAGTTAAGGTAGCTGGAGTTTCCAAATAAAAGCTATATATTACTTGATCAGTATACCGTATGATTACATTGATTAAATAAAATTATTAATATGGGACTTCCAAAATTATGTGCGATGAACATGAAAAAAATTAGAAGAAACATTTTAGTTAAAATACGTGGGAGTGGTGCGGTGGCCTGGAGGTGGAGCTGTCACTTCACAATCAGGAGGCTGTAAGTTTGATTCTAGTTAGAGGCAGATATTTCTCTCGCTGGGCACATATTTCTCTCGTGGGAATATATCTGCTGAACAAAACACTGCATTGATGACAGGAAGAGCATCCGGCCAATAAACACTCTGATAGCTCCATTCAGTTGCCCAGACTCCATCCCGCAAGGGATTATGGGGTCGTTAAAAGGAGATGATGATGTAATATATAATAGAGTTGTCTTTGCTTTATGACCATCAGTTTAGTGGCCAAAGTTATAACTGCCCTAAAAAAAATGACTTCCAGCCAATCCTTGTACCCATGACTGTTACACAATGTTGCAGCATCTTTGTAGCCAACTGATCACCATTTTTGATATTCCCAGCTGACTTCACTGATTCTAAAGAGTGGTTGGATAACCTTTCCAGATGTTTTAATCTAGGAACCCCACCTAACCCAGAGAGCATGGATATTTATAGGAATTATTATCCTTCCCATTTAAGGATTATTGATTCAATGAGGGTAATGATAGAAACTTCAGTCTGTCAAAGGTTGAGTTATTGATTCCTAGTTAATATATATTTTTGTAGTCAGAAGATAGTAAAATGTTTTCCTTTAATGTCATATTAGGATTTCAAGAAGATTAAACAATTCTAAATAATTTATGAGGAAAATATATATGTATTTCATAAAATAAATTTTATTATCATTTTCTGATGCCCAACACTGAAAACATGCAGAGTTGAATTGCTTGATTTTAATAAGGAATATCAATTAAATATAAATAAAAGGAAGGGTACGTGTAAAGGTACTATTATGTGACCAAATTTGTAAGCGAATTAAAGTTGAGCATGGGTTAATATGTTAAAAAAGGGAAATTAAATGAGGAAAGAGGCGGTAATATCCCCAAAGCGCATTGTCTACGGATCCGAGTTAAAGAAACTATAGGAATGTGGCAGATCCTAAGGACGGAGGAAGAAGAAGAAACTGTCCTTGATTTGTTGCTTTGTTCTCTCCTTAACCAGACACAGATGCCAGATCCCAAGACCTTCAAGCAGCACTTTGAGAGCAAGCATCCCAAAACCCCACTTCCTCCAGAATTAGCTGATGTTCAGGCATAAAGTTCACTGGTAATTTTGTACCATTTAAATTTTGAATTCATTGATTGTAAATCCTAAATAATTTTGCTTGATTTATATTTCATTTGTTGAATTTCTGAAGGGAATGAAAGTGAAGAGATAACTTTAATATAAAATCAACTGCTGTTTGAGCTTTTTGGGGAGAGGGATCTGTTTTATTTACAACTTTACTTGTACTGTACAGTTAAGCTATTGTTATCACCAGGCCTATTTGCAAAACAGCAAAAAGTAACTGAAAGGATATTTTATAATGTTCTCATTTTGATTCAGCCAGTTCTGTTAACAATTGTTTGGGGATGGTTAATTTTAAAATTGAATTATATTAAATCAGTGTTTTACAAATTTGGCAACTTTAAAATGTATGGACTTCAACTCCCAGCAGTCTGAGAAATTCTGAGAATTGAAGTCGTAAAGTTGTAAAGTTTGAAAAAGACTGCATTAAATTATTGCATAATATTAACATAGCAGTTCAAATGATGAATTTATTTTTGTGTTTCAGGTGAATTCGTGGAATCTATTGACTCTTCTATTGTCAGACATTACGTAACAAATCTGCAGCTGCTTTCTTAACAAACTGTTGATCAGCAGAAAAATGAAGGGGCTATAGAAACATTCATATTTTTATGCTGTTCCTTGGGCTTCATGTAAAGACAACTCTGTGTAATTGTACAGTTGTGCCCTACTTGGAAATCTGGAAATTGGTTCATTCTAAAAAGAAATTACAGTTGTAATTATATTGATGTTCATATTGTGTAAAATAACTCATTTAATAAAGTAGTACTTTGATTTTACAATATCACAGGTCAAATGCTTGTAGAAATTCTATTTCCATGTTTCATTTGCCTTATAAAACTTCAACAAGTGAACTTCTCACTCTGCCAAAAATTAGGTAGCTTAGTTAGGGTAGATTCATTGCTGTTTATAAAGTCCATTAGAAACAAGGAAATAATTTCTCCATTCAATATGATACCTGCTTGAGCGTGATCATTTTCTTAAAAAACGACAACACTGCTTTTGATGGAAGACGTGTTGCACTTTCAGCTACTTAGGTTGGAGTGCCTATTCTGCTGGTTATTGTGAAATTTCACTCTTTATGCATAGAGGCACTTGTATCTTGGATTTATGCACTGACTCAGTAGCAGTGAATCATTATACTAAATGGTGGGATATCAGAAGTATACTTGAACTGAACATTGTTTTTTATATGATCTGAGTGGTTCAGACTATAGCAACATGAAATAACTGCTTTCTGTTGTGAAGACCCACTGTGTAACTTCTCAATTGTACCTATGAGAAGTGGGCGACCTGGCAACCTTTCATATGTAAAAATGACTACTGTAAATGTTTCCCTGTTTGAAAACAAAAATGGAAAAAGCTTATTTGATGGAATAGGATAGCACATGCAATAGAAATAATGGCTTATTCATTTGGTTAATTGGAACTGATTACATAAAGCAGTGTAGATATTAAAATTTCAATACCAGGCAGTGTTGCATTATGTTACAGATTTCCAAACTATGTTTGAGCAGGATTCTGATCTCAGGTGCAGTCCATAGGTTCTGCCCCAGGTGCTTTTCACTCAAACAAATAATTTGTGACAGGTTACTTATGTTACTGGTTAGACACTGACAGTAATATTGACCAAAGTTTGCTTGTGCCTAAAACAGATGTCTTTGAAATCATTCTGTTAAGCCAGCACACATGATACACATTTGATACATAAAGAAAAAATAATTGTGATCTCTTTGTTTACTAATCTGATATGTCAGTTAAGTTAATGTTGTTTTTATTATCCTGGGGTAAACAATACCAATTACACGGCTTACTTGCACTTGTACACCTGACATTGGAATAAAGCTCATGCTTCGTTTTCTTACATAATAAAATGTCCTCGTAAAATGACAACGGGGTCCCACAGGCAAGAAATACGCCTGTTAAACCAATAAAAGGTACTGAAAAGTTGGAATAGAACACCATATTAAAAATGATTTGAGATGTTATACGTTCACTAACTTTTAATTTGTTTAGGTGGAATTCTGGAAAGCTGTTTTCAGTTAAATTAATTCCTCAAACAGATACATGTTCTTTCAGATTACTTATCAACAAATAAAGGGGTAGGAACAAAAAATAGGTTTCTACTAGATTAGTACAACTGACCCACTTATGTTACAGACTGCATTTTTCTGAATTGCTGTTTTAAGTAGCTTGTATCTGTACATTGAGCAAGCTAAATCTTTATTTTATACATTAATTAAACTGCTAAAGATAATTTGTTTCTTACCAAGAATTAAAGGCCACAAGAAAATCCGGACATTCAACATATGGGAACGAATTGGATGGGTTGGAACTATCCATAATAAGAATCTTTTAATTCTCTCTGTTGATTAAAGGAATGGGTGTAAGGAATAAATGAAAAATTTTCCAAATCTTGTGGATAGAATGTTAATTTTGGATCAAAAGACACAATTGTGCATTGTAATGTGTCTGATTAAAATCTTTTAAAAAGCAAAAGTCGAAAATGTGATATTTCCTGCCTACCTAATGCAAATGTCATTTCTTTAACCTTGATGCTAACTGAGCAGCTTTAGTTCTTTGTTTAGCACAAGGAATGGAAATAACGGCAAAGGTTTCATTCGATTTGCATGTGTCATTCATAGATAAAATCAAGATAAGATTAGAGAAAATATGCACAAGGACTTTGCTGTTATGAACTTTGTGTATTGGTAGTTAGCAAGCCAGCATGCTTTTGCGTAATTTGTTTAAACCATCATTTGTTATACTTAAAACACACAGGATATAATGTGCCAAAATACACAATACAGTAGTGTTTCCTTCCAGTGATATTGGTCACAGTCCTATTTCAAAGGCTAATTTGAATGTGGATATTCCAAAATAATTCTTTTGGACACATCTTTTAAAATGGTGCCTAACCTTAGGGATCTGAGTGTTGGCAAAGAACTTTAGTAAAACATTTGGTTTAAATACTGGAATGCTAAATACAAAATTTGTCTAATAGTTCAGACTTGATTGTGACTGTTCTTGGAAAAATGTATCAGGCTACTTGAATTTCAAAACGATTATATCAAGTGAGACATTTTTCATCAATCTGGCAGCATGTTATGTTTGGAATTGTTGCTGTTGCGTTACTTATGTGATGGTACAACTCTAGATTAGAGTTGCAGAATACTTGAGAAAGTGGAGGTGCAACATTTTTAAAAGTATGCATTTAAATACAGTCATTTACAGAATGGTTGACTTTAAACTTTGGTCTTGCCTGAGTATGAACCAGAGTACTGTAAAGCAATAAGAAAGGTGGTAGACCATACATATCCATGGGGATTAAAATATTTTGAAACATGAATTTGATTTGTTTTAATTTGTACTTCAGAAAAACTATAAAATCAAGAGAACATCCATGATCAACAACATAGTTATTTCTTATATTCTTTCTCCTACTACTCATGCTGATTTTAGTACCTTGTATATTAACATAAAAAACAGATTGCTTTCATGAAATATAAGTGCATGAGAAGAAGCTATTCCTTCTTTATGCCTCTGCCAGCATCCCATAAGAAAATTCTGACTTTAAAATTTTACTGGCTGTTCTTATTATTACAGGTAGATGGAAGAAAGTAGGTTCCATGTATCTTCTAGGCCAGGGTTTGTTCTAGTGCTTGCAGCATGTTTCATGGAAGTGTTGTTATGACTGATCTGCCATAATAGCCTCAATCTATGAGACCAAAAAGTATGTCCAGTAATGCATCCTCTTCTAAATGTTTAATTTGGGAGTACTTTTATGTAAAATACATGTTTATAGTAGTTCATTGATATATAACTGACCTCATCACCTTTCTTCGCAAGGCTATATTGTGCCATATCCATCATCGGACATTGGCGATTATGTTGGCAATCCTATTTTTATCAACAGCCGCATGAAAAGATGCTGTTGAGTTTTGTCCAAACCAGTCTCTTAGATTTTGAAGCCATGATGTTCTTCTGCCTGGACCTTGTTTGCCTTCAATCTTTCCTTGAAGGATTAAGTGAAGTATGCCGTATTTTCCCGGGTGTTGCATCCCATGTCCAAAATATTGTAACTTACCGCTTTTTTATAGTTTTGATGGTTTTCCTTGGCTTTCATCAAAAAAGTTTCCCATAGGCCTGCTAATATAACATCTACTGTACTGGACAATTTTATATGGAAAAAAAAACAAGGTACTTCCAACTCTCTTAATAGCACTGTACCAGTTGAAATCTGTTTTTTCCAGTTGTGTTAGAGTTTCAAAACTTAGACTTCCCAGACAAAAATTACATGCCATAGGTATTTTGAGGAATGTTGTTCAAAGGACCTTCATTTAATAGATATGGATTTAGCAAACAAGATTTAACCGAAAGGAACTTTGGCCTGAATTCCAAGCAATATCACACTGCCTGAACAAAGTGGCTAGGATAATGTCATTCAACACAACTGCAAGGCAGTAGCCCAACTGAGAGAACTATTTCCCTGCTGAGCCCAAGCACTACTGGCCACTATTGCTTAGCAAATCAGTTCCAATCCCAAATATTGCCGATAGTGGCATTTGTACATAGGGCAATTTTTTTTCTGCTTCTGCCCTCTCTGATGATTGCTATTAACAGCAACAAGCCTAGGAGTGTTTGAGGACTCAAAAAAAAAAAATCCCCTTTGACAATTAATCTCCTTTGGACATCAATGAATATCCTTTTCCCATTTGTTAAATCTAAGGCTCTGTGGGGCACTAAGTTGGAGGAGTCTGCAACAAAAAGGAGTCTGCAACAAAAATCTTGAATAAATCCACACTAATTTGTAGTCTGCATACAATCATGTTTTTTTTATTCAAACATTTTCTCAACTGTATATGGACGTTTCCAGTACGATTTATTTCTCAGAATGGCCCTTTTGAATTATTTGTTTTTCTCTTGGTAGTAAGTAAAACAGGCTCCTGATGGATAGATCAAATGCCATAGGTCAGATGTATACATACTGAACTGGTCTTGAATTCGATTTTCTTTGAGTATCACAATAACCATAGCAAGGAAATTAGACCTCGGAGTCCTCCTCAACCTGAAGATGCTACATAAATACCAGAAATGTGCAAACTTGATTACTAAGTACCTTTACTGGTAAGAAAGCAGGAGCAAAATCAATTTCGTTGTATATATGTTCAATGATAATAAAGGTTATTATTAAAGAAGAAGCCACATTAGTCTATGGTGACAAATCAGGAGCCAGGTAGCAATTTTTATTAAAAGACATTTTTGTAAACTGCATAAAGCATGTTAGCTGGAAAAGGTGCTATCAGACTTCTGGTTTTTGGGGTAACTTTTTTGAAATGTGAATTACTCATGGTGTGGATGGGATCACTAGATGATGGATGGTTTCCTGTGGCTTGTTAGGTTTCACCTCTAGTGCTTGCTGCAGCTTATGGAAGACTTGTGAGACAGGGACTAGAATTTTCCACCACAAATGGCCTTTTTCTGGCCAATCAAGGAGTCCTTTGGGAATAGGGTGAGGGGCAGTGGTGGGCTGTTGGATGGTTGGCGAGGTTCAGGCGAACCCCTAGCTGTGACCTCTGGCTGGGCCCACCCACCTGCCCTTGTGCTATGCTTATCCTAAATAACTTTTTCCCCCACCCCGGGCTGCCCGGGTGAGTTTCGTGCCGCCCTGCTATACTCACCGGAGCTGCCTGAGTCAATTAGCTGCCTGTTTGAAGCTGCATTTCAGCCCCAAAGTGGCGTGTGAGAGCAAAGCACTCACAACCAGCGAACCCTTTGTCAACAGTGGTGGGTTTCAAACAAATTTATGATTGGTTCTGTGGATGGGGCTTGGTGGGTGTGGCTTGGTAGTCGTGACACGGGTACTGTAAAATGTCCATTCCCACCCCACTCCAGGGACAAGGTTATTGCAAAATCCCCATTCCCTCCCCACCCCACTAACTGCTTTCCAGCTCCGTTCTCCTGTGCAGGGT